CGTTGATGATCGGTTTCAATCAGTCGTCGAGCGAACATCAAAAGGTTCGAGACTTCTCCCTGCGATAGAAAAGTCTTTGTCGGATATAATCACGTTAATTTTTTTTAACGGCCGATAATGACAATAACTATGGACGATCTGAAAGTAAAGTTAGTTGATGAGAGCTTCTGTTAAAATATATTTCGATGAGAATAATAAGTTCGTCCGAATCGCGTACGCATTTCTAGAAGTATTATCTCAAGCTATTGCTTAGACTAGCGGCGATGGTTTCATTCTGTAATTAAAGAAATTGTTATTATCTAATGTAACATAGACCGTGCTGTATTCATCGCACGTATGTATTTGGATGTGTGAATGTGTTTTCAAAGCGTTCCTTGGCGAGCGTGCACCTGGCAGTTTCCAAAGTAAATTCATTAAATTTTGTAACGATCGTGTTTATAAGACTGCATTCAGCGTTAATTATACACGTTATTTAACTCTTTAAAAGGGTATTAAACATGGCAAAGTATAGCTTAAAAAATGTATGAAACGAGGAAAATATTAATAGAAAGGTGTACATTTTAGATCGGCAAAGATATTCCATAAGCTGATTACGAATTCCCAAAGGCGCAGTTTTCTCACAAATTGTCGAGAAAGTTGCCTTTGCTTCGCAACTTGAGCGTCGCGTATTTCATAATTACACGTTATTTCTATTTTAACAATAATACATGCGAGTAAAATCGATCGAAGAGAATTAATTAAATAAAATTGAGTAATAAACAAACATAGATTTCGAAAAAGATTCTTTACAATTTACGGAGTTGCCGTTGACAAATTCCTACGTTAAAAGGTGAAATTAAAAGACAAAATTAGCGTCACCTATGTCTTTATCTAGTTTCGCTTTCTACACGTAAAACGCGTGTTTAACACATTTACTTTTCTCTATTAACGATAGAAAATCATAATTTGCCACAGATTTTATTGAAAAGAGAGAACGAAAGACTTATTAATGAAACTTGCACAAAGGCGATTAATGTATTCCATGTACCGTTGCATTTCCATCGACCAGATTTATAATTCACAATATCCAATAATAATGCATAGTTATTGTTATCGAATATATATAAATATATGGGTGTATTAATAAACAATGAATAATTAACAACTCGATAGAAATATCGAATAAACCAGGCATATTTCCCAAAAACAAATATGACGTTATCGAATTTTTCAAGCGTATATTTTTTCCTCCATTTTTCATCCAATCCTTTCTTAAACGTCAATGCGCGACCATGCGTTGTATTATGCAATCGATGCATGTCAATCAAAGGCGCGTCCACTCATGGAAAATTGTGTACACACGATAAAGTTCAGCGCACGTCGGTCTCGAGCATTTTTATGCAGGAGAACGCGATTGAAAATGCAGTTGCCTGTCATTATACACGCGGAATCTACTTGCGGTACTCCTCGCCTTTTCTTCCTTTCTCGCCCTTTATTCTCCTTCCTTCTCTATTAATCCTCTATACTCCCTTTTCTGTCATTTCGAAATCCACCGTCTCTCCCTCTCGCTTGCTCAAAGGCCTCTCCTATTCTTTGAGTCTGTCTCTCACCGTGTCGACAATTCTCCTCCCTCTTGACGGTGGTTTCGCTTTATCCTGACATCTGGTCTCTACATACCTCGGAAACATAGCGGATCCCGTGAGAACCACTGTTCAAATGAATGAAACCCATTCACCGATCTATAGAACCGATCACAGCAGCACGGTATGCCAACGTAATCCGATAGGAATGCATTTTCCACCGACAAAACAGGCGTAACCCGGAAGGTGAAATTAACGTTCAGCACGACGTGTTCCTTTCCTTGAAATTTGGCGAGTCTGATCAATGGCGGAGCCTGTCGCGCAAGGCCACCGCCAGTCATTTCCAAGTATGAGCGAGGCATGACGTTACGTAAAATTCTACGGCGCAGCTTGCGCATTGAAAGTGCTCAGGTAGAACCTTTGAAATAAAGTCGAAAGTCCTAGCGGTTCCGAGCTCTTGATAATTTCTTCGTTATCGTTTGCTATCTTTGCTCTAACACAAATACTTAGAATCTTCGTGTTGGTTTAGAGATAATGAAACGTGATTAAGTTAAAGTTTCGAGGTAATTAGTCTGTAAATTCAATTCGTTTCTCAAATTAGTGGAGTTACGGGATGATTGCTAAATCGATTGATAAAGATATGGAAAAGGAAATGGTACGAGAAAGCGAAGACGAGAATGGAAATTTCTCGCAGAAAATTGTATAATACATTCTTGTTTGACGTATCGGTAATTTTCCTATGAAAGAGCCCGAAGGCGAGGATCTATGATCCGTGGGAACCGTCTACGTTCAGTTAGCAAAACCTACACTGATTTTCACTGTAACTACCTGTCTTACTACCTGTCCTACTACCTCTCCTATACTTTTCAACGTCGCCTCTACAACAGGGTGTTTTCGAAATCGTCGTACGATTACAAAGCAGAGAAATTTTCAAGGTCCGTTTCTCCATAGGGTTGAAAAAGAGAAACGAACTTTTTCAGAAAAGGATTCCATCCTCTATTTTCCGCTTTCCGTGTTTCCGTGAAAATTTTTCAGCCGTTCTGTACGAACAATGAGATAACCGTACCGCTATGTAAAATTTGAACTTCGACATTTACGATTGGATTTCGTAGAAAATGAGTACTCTGCGAATACCGGAGCATCCCATTAAGTAAGAGCAATGGTAATTTTCAGAATCTGGTGAACTTAAACTCTATGGTTCAGCCGATCGAATACGAGACCACGATTGTAGATTGTAGCGAACTGAAATTGCATATATCGGACGGTGGGCGTAAGTGTACACGGCTATGTTATGTCGAGATATCTGTACAGAGCGAATACGGGCGAACGAAAATGAATGGAAACGCTTATCATCTTTTTAGGAAATACAATTATGTATAACAGAAAATATAAAAAACTGGTGTACTATAATGAAAACTGTAAATAAAAAATAAAGAAGATCGATCTGTACGCGGTTTTTATATAAATTTCATAGCTACGTGAAAAACTTGACGCGATATTTAAGCCACGGTTGCACTCAATTATAATCCCTTGTATGTTTGTCGTTCAACATTTTTGTGTCAGGAAAAATTGGTTTTCATCAACTCGGGTTGTTAAGAAATAGATTTTTGTTTTGTTACGAACATGATGGAGTGTTACGTGCATATGACATCCGTTTGCGTTAAAATGTGTGTGCGTTCAAAAACGAAGATCGTTTCAAAGCGAACTGAAATCAATTCAATTAAAACGAAAATACCTATTATCGTTACAATCGACAGTTTATCGCTAAATTATTTCGATAATACACGGTTACACCATCAATTTACATCAACAGACTTTGAATCAGAAAATAATCCTTCGTACATCTTTAACCTTTTTTCCACTTACGTTGACTTTTTTACGTTAAAATATCGATAGCAAAAATTCACGTAGCGATTTAATACGAAAATGCTACAACTTGCAAACGTAAAAACCGGCTATTTAGATGTTAATTACGTTTGTCTATGAATTTTCTATTAGGCGAATAGTCCGTTCTACATACGTTTGCATCTCATCCTTGAAATAAAAGACTCTTTCTTCCCTAATTGGATTTCTGTGCTCTACAAGTCGTAAGTGAGCCACGAGGTTAAACAGTTTCGAATAAATCCTCATTCGGCTACACCTCTATTCTTAAAGGAAAGCGGTTGATTCTCGTCTTGTCGAAAGGTAAAAATAAACCGCAAATGATGTCTTTCGACCCAACCACGTATAGGAATTCAACGATTACGTTGAAAGTATAACCGGTGGAGATCGGAACGAACAGTTCTTTGCATCTACATATTACAAAGCCGAGACAGTGAGTCATCGAAACCATAACCTGTTTTTTGACGTTAACGACACATAATGTTCTCCTCTATCAGCATTCGTTTTACGATAGATGAGTACGAATCGTGCGTACAATACATTTTTTTTTTACTATTCGTTACTTGCGTATAGAAATTATTGATATTTCAATTACGATTCAACGATTCAAACAAATATTTACTATTTTCTACAACAACAAATTGCTATTATTCGTATCGTGCGTGACTTTACAGGGATTAAACTAATATTAAATATTACACTGTTCATGCATGATTGGCAAATTACGAAGTACAAGAAGATCGTCGAACAAAAAGAGAGGCTAAGATACGGGTTTGTTAGTAAAACAACTCACGCGACCACTATACGTACCGAGTGCACGCCGCGATAAATTCTGTTTGTTGAAATTCATCACAGCTCGTACCTGCTTCTTAATAAAATTATCAATCGCATTATTCAACCATAATATCACGTTATGAAACAATTCGTGATTAAAGCGTAAATACATTAACAACATACTAAAGTAACTTCTGGATTATTAAGTCGTACTTATTTTAAAATTAAACGAAAAAAGTATTTAGAATCGTAGGAGAGTAGCGGTAGCTTATAAAATACTATTGCTTCGAATAATTGCATCTCTCTGCGTCACTGAATTTAAGCCTTTCGTCATAAATATTTATTTTAAATAATTAAACTCGCGCTCGACGTATTTACTGTAATAAAAAGAGATAATCTATCGGTACGCGTTACATCGTGTATATTTTATTTTCCACTTGTCTGTTGCTTAACCCACTCTTCTTGTACTACATATTTACTATCGTTGCATCTATTACTTTACGAGTATTAGTATACAGTATCTCGAATAAGTAGCTTCCTACAAAGCAACAAAGAAAGTTACTCGTGACCAACGAAGGCGTGGCAAGACTCGCTAAGCCGTTGAGTCACATAATATTGTACTCATATGTGAATACATACCAACAAAGATATTCACCGTGTTAAGAAATTCTATTGGTATGCTCGCATAATAGGAATCTATTAGTCGGTTTAATTAGTTGGACATTGTATAATCCTTAATGGGTTTTCACGTTTGTCGATCATTACTTTGACGGAAGAAATAAAATATTTTATGACGCATAGAATGTATTTCACAAATTGTTGCAACTCGTTGTAACAAAACATGCTTGCTGTTAATAAGAAGGAATTCTTCCAATCATCGAGATGCCAAACGAATCGTGAAATTTTACGTAGCCTGTCCGATCCGTTATGCTTTCTAACAGTAAACTCCTTTCTAATATATAAAGTAGATAAATCATTTTCTTCTTAATCTTAATGATTTGTTGTTGCTTGAACAACTAATAGGTATTTTGAAACGGTAGATATAGTTAGTCGATTACGGTTGATCCAAATATTATTCAATCGAAGTAATAAAAAAGCTATCGGATTTATAACGTAAAATTAACGATAGCGCGTCACTTTTATGTATAGCGTTCGAATAGCTGGATACATTTAATTTCTAATTCTATTTGTATCAAAAATTAATCGACCCGATATTTTGAAATTATGGGAAAAGGTTCGATAATAATAATCTTGATAAACGTCTTGGTTACATTTTTGCTTATATTATAGTTCTTTCTTTTTATTTCAATCGCTACTCTCTAGCGATATTCTATTCTGAATCATTCAACTTCAGAAGTGTGACAAATACCCGACGAATTTCTGAGAAATCTTCCTCCGTTGATCTGCGCGGAGAAGAGACTTCAACGCCTGCATAGTCACGAAACAGAACGTCTTTCTATCGATTCATCGTTGAGCTGAGACCTGCAAAACCAGAGGCACGTCACCATATTTGTCGTTGCGTCTCGTCGTTCTAAAGAAAAGGAAGTTACTTCCGGTTGTTTTCTGCGTTGTCTCACGATCAGTAGTTTCCATAAACCGTTTCTACTTATACGGTATAATCGGAGTAACATCCACTTCAAGATATCAAGTAATTAGATCTCGTTTTGCAACTTTTTCTTCCTTTTCTTTTCTTTTTTCTTTTTTTTTTTTTTTTTAGAAATTGAGTAAAGTAGCATTTCTAATGCTATAGTCGTAGGCAACTTTTATCGAATTCATTTTTATCGGACAAAAGTACCGATTAGTATAATTGCTAATTATCTCTATCTCTAACGATAATCGCCAATTACAACTAAGATATATAAGAAATTGGGAATATTCCTATAATATAGTAACGTTCGAACATATTATAGAATTAACTATACTTTCCATGATTTTTCTCAATGTTCTCAAGTCTATATCGTTGCAATTGTTCACATCACGGTGTGTTCCCCATTGTGTCTAAGACAACATACGTAAAGTACAACTGTCTTCTCTGTGCGTATTTTATATGCCAATCACGCAAACTCGTGAGTTCCTGCCATGTATTCATTCTCGAACGCGTCGCGTGCGCTCATGCGAGAGGAATCGTGGAAAAACTCTAGGAGCCAGCACGATATGAATCTTAATTAAAGATACCTTACTGTTGCTTCCTTAGATTCGAGCATGAATAATTTTGTTACGATTACGATGATTTAACCGCCACTTTGATATTTCTTCTTCTATTTTTTTTTTTTTTTTTTTGTTGTGCTTACGTAAATTTTCATTTTTTATCCCAAAGTTATCTTCGTAACGACGCTATATATAGACATAGATATTTCGATCAAGCTGTTCTGCAATTCATTAACGACGTTCACTGAAATATCATGATAACACCGGCAATTCTGTGCGAGATACAACGTTTCTGTTTATTATGTCAACATCAGAATATGTAAATTAGGGAACGATCGTACGAAAGAATAGTTCATCAGAGACGTGTTATTCAAGGTCTTATTTTTTTATCCCAAAGTTATCTTCGTAACGACGCTATATATAGACATAGATATTTCGATCAAGCTGTTCTGCAATTCATTAACGACGTTCACTGAAATATCATGATAACACCGGCAATTCTGTGCGAGATACAACGTTTCTGTTTATTATGTCAACATCAGAATATGTAAATTAGGGAACGATCGTACGAAAGAATAGTTCATCAGAGACGTGTTATTCAAGGTCTTATGAAAATACAGAGGAGACAGCATACAGCGAAGTACTTTTATCAGTTAACATATATATGTATATATGTATGTATTTGAACCGATCTCACTTCGAATAATTTCCATATTATTATCGGTTGTCATAAAACTTACGATTGATCAATTTCGTTGTATACACGTAAAATAACTTGTTAGTTGTACCGTTAAATATAAGAAAAAATACCTCGGAATTTTCCTAATTATCGACAATGTAAGAAGTAAGAACTATTACCATCGTGTTCTTTATAAATCGTTTATGATTTCTTTCTACGATCGTGTACGTACCATAGGTTCATACCAGGTGTATGCCATTTTTTCCTTTCCAACAAACTCTCTCACTATTTAATCGCACTCCAACACACTTTTGCCTTTTTCCCATTATTAGTCATTCGAGTAACATTTAATTTTTTTCCATGTACTCGATACATTCGAAGGATGTATGTATTGAATTATTTCAAAGTGTAGGCAGACAAGGCCAGATACGCGACGTTAACTCTATCGAATTATAATGTTATCTTAAATTCTGTTTTCCCATGGCAACCTGGCGTGTAACATGCGCACTTTAATTTCAAAAAAAGTGCGATTAATTCCATTTACCTGGATTAGTTTATCTAAACATAATTTATCTACATATATAAATAAATGATGATGATTATATATAAATATAATATAGCGATATGTATATATATAAATAAATAAATGGAAAATATCTGTTTTATCTGTTCTGAAATTTATTTTTCACGTGATAAACATTCCGCGTAAATAATCACAACTACGTTGTAGTTGTAATTAACCAAGGTTCGTGATTTCGACGAATTTTCGCCGCTGTATAACCGTAATGTCCACCTTAAACGAGTCTCTCCTAACTATACAACCTTACGAGGGCGTGCAGATGCATCTCATGCATTATTTATTGGTTACCATCGATCCTCCTGTGGGTGCAGTGGACTTCATCAACCGCCTTGCTTGGAAAGTTACGGATGTTTGTATTTTTAAAATACCTAATGATAAAGCTTAAATTGGAAAACTTACTCTCTTAATAAATATTCTATAGCACGAGGCCACGCAAACTACAGAGATATAAAAAGAAATGTCGTAAATAAACCAGAACTCGGATAAAGAAAAAAGTGTAACTAAATATATGGAATTCGTTCAATATCGAATAAAACTAGGAATTCGAACAACCATTCGACTAGTTTATCGAAGAGGATGCAATTCAGTAACCTAAATTGAACGTTTCAGTGAGCAGAGAAATCAAATCTTTCGTGTACACATGTCGATTAGAATCCAATACAAGCGTACATTATCTTACCGAAATTTCAACCTACATAGTTAATAGCGATAACAGAAATTGGAACACTCACATAATCGGTTACATCGTCCTTCCTTTCCTACTTTCGGTCAATATCTGTAAATGTTCGAATATCTACGATATCTGACATACTGAAAAACGTACAATTTCTATTCCCCGTTATAAAAGTTATTATATTTCTTATTACCATGAAAGCAATTTTATGCAGGTAACGTAATATATTTCGTTTTACTACTTGATGTTCTAGTACTTACGAGCTTATTAGTAGTCACCGACGAAGCGCCGCAAGATTCCAGACACAAAAACTACGATGAACGTTCCAGGGAAGCCTATTTCAATGGGTCGGCGTTCCTTAAATTGAGCTCGTTCGTGTCCGTGCATGGGCATAGCGGTTTGAGTTTTCGAACATGCGAAGGAGGTCGACTTTTCATGCAGAAATACAACGAGGATTCGATTAGTCTGGAAGTGACCCCGGATGGACTTCTGTTTGCGGCTATCATCGATCAACAACGATACAAAGCGAGGCTAAACGCCAGATTACTGAATAATGTTTGGCACAACGTCAATATCCTCTTTAGACTCGGAAATCTCACTTTAAACGCAGCAGGACACACGCAGGTAATCAACACTTTTTTCAAGATAAAAGAATCCTCGTTATAATAAATTTCCCATATCTAGCGACGAATTATATCTGTTTAATAAATTCAACGATTCGACGATCAATTAAATTAAAAGATTAAATTATTATGATATATTAAAAACTTGAATTATAACGTTTCCCTTTGAAGTCGTACATCGATGTTTTCGAAACTTTATGAAATGAAAAACCTGATCTTAAAAAATGTTTTTTACTCTCCCCTTCCATTGTCGAGATCATTCGACTTACGTTTTTTTTCTTTTTTAAAAAGAGTAATTAAAAAAGTAATTTTGACCTCTTTGGCGGATCTGAGACTCCAAAGCTATATTCTTATCTCTCGTTACAACGCTGATTTTTTGACTGATTCTGTTTAGGTAATTGCTAATGCAACGTACAATGCTGCGATCCTTACGCTGCCCGATTACGATATGAATGGCTCCCTTATCGTGGGAGAAGCGTTCAGAGGATGTATCCTCCAAGGTCCTGGTATTCTTTTTAACGATTCCATCAATAACGGAGCTATCTTTGGCCCCTGTCCTGCGGAGAACAAAGGATGTAAGGATTTCAACGTTCTTTCAAACGAATATTAATATTTATAATATTTAGGATATTTTGCCGAGTAAGAAAGAAAGATATTGAGAATGTAGAAATTGACTAGATACTAAATACGTGCGAAATAACACATTTTCCTTTGTTTGGTTCAATTACAAGCGGAATCGAGCAATTGAACCACAGAATAGAATTTCCGTAGACGAAAAATCCAGTACTAAGCCGTAGATTTTTGGATCACTGCACACCTTTCGGAGTGAAAATCACGTATATTTAGTTGGTTCCTGCGTAAACTCTCAGACTACTCGTATGTGAGGTCGTATGTGCGATTTATGATACAAGTAGCAGATTGCATGGCAGATTTTCCTACGAAACTTTCAGGTGGTACGAGCGGACTTAACGGTGGTGTAGGATCAAGTGCAATCACCACCATGGATTTCTGCCATCACGAGCCATGCATGATGCATGGTAAATGCGTGTCACGGCAGGATCGTTACGAGTGTCACTGTTACGCCCGATATTCCGGCAACAACTGTCAAATTGACAACGGTAGACATTGACGTCGAATACGGGATTCTGGCACGGAGCGAAAGATAGAAATAGATCCATGGCCTTGTAGAAATACGCGTTATCATAAATTACAATCGTAATATCTTCATCGTAAATGGAATTACGTTGCTTAGCATAGAAATTTTGAAAAGCAAGTCCACGGTTAAACACATCGTAACAAATCGTGTTGTATTTATTTTAGTTTCTCGTTGTTTGTTCCTTTTATAATACAATCGCGATTGGAAATATTAATGTCTAAATTAAGCTTTGAAATATCGATTACGATACAGTCAGCCATGGATTCTCTTTTTTAACTTTCGTCTATAATCTTTGCATGAATTTCATCATCTGTCTGCCTTTTTTGAATGACATACATACATAGAATATCGCGACGAATCACATATCACGAATAACACGTCTTTAATTCCCAATTAAAGACGAGTGTTTATAAGAAACGGGTTTGCACGGTGGATATTCTGCTCGAACATCTCGTTCCACGTTATTTTATTTCAATCACGAGCTAAAGAAAATTAGCATGCCGAAGACACTAACTACCTGGAACACCATACATTTACCGGGGTTTCTATAAATAAGAACTGTATACTAACATTCCTATCTGCTTGTCAAATATAAGTTTCGAGTTGTCAATCCTATCGCGTTTTCTTTTATTATGGGCTCTTTTATCTGACAACAGGTGTTTGGATTTCGGGAGCACTGGCGTCACACTCTTTCGCTATTAGAGCTATTAGAATCGCTGTTTCCCGATAAATGCTAAAGTATTTTATCTGTATAAAATTTTATACAGGTCCGCCATGCATGAGCAGTCCTTGCCGCAACGGTGGCACATGCAACGAAGACTCGAAAGGGGACTTTAGCTGTACCTGCAAGCCAGGCTTTACCGGAATTTACTGCGAATCGCAGCTCGGTGTACGACTTTGCGAACAAAGTCCATGCAGAAACGAAGGTGTTTGCATAGCGCTCACCGAAAGCGAATATAAGTGCGAGTGTCTGCCTGGTTGGACGGGGAAAAATTGCGAAACCAATTTTAACGAATGCTCACCGAATCCTTGCAGACACGGTGGAGTTTGCATCGATGGTATCAACAATTATACCTGCATATGCGATAGAACGGGGTACGTCTCTGGCGTTTACGTCGTATTAAATAATTCGAGGGAAAGCCTCAAGCAGTTTACGTATACTCTCGTTTTAGTTTGTCATCTCTGTAGTACACTGTACATTATGAAACTACCGATTAAATTCCTTGTCGATTTATTTGCACATTTCTCTGCACCGTCTGGCAATAATTCTTTTATCGACGCTTCGAAAAACGTGATCTCTTTGGAATGTATAAAATACATTGGTACATTTCGCATCATACACGTTCAAAAATACAAGCTTGAAACTTTCAAGACCTAAAGAAGAGAAATAACATCTTATTGTTAGTATATAATAAACGTATTAGATACAAAAAATGAACGAACCAAGTTCCACTTTTTAATATTCGAATGAGAACCCACACGCTTAGTAGAAAAATGTAATTATCTTCGATATATGTATGTATTCGATATCTAATCAACAACCGTTTTGTAACGGTTGAAAGATAAACCTGTCGAGGCAGAAAAATTATAGCGAATTATTAATCGTTTTCATCCTATTACAGATACGAAGGTGGTAATTGCGAAATTGACATCGACGAATGCTTGGCGAATCCCTGCTTGAATAACGGCGTGTGCTATGATAATTACGGTGGCTACATCTGTCACTGTCCGAACGGTTTCGAGGGACAAAATTGTGAATTGAACTTAAACGAGTGCTTGTCGAATCCTTGCATGCACGATGCCGATTGCGTGGACGACGTTGGTTCCTATCATTGTAATTGTCCATCCGGATACGCCGGTCGACACTGCGAGCTTAAGAGTTTGTGCGAGAACGCGGCATGCCCGCCGAATAGCATCTGTGTAGAAGACGCACATGGGCCACAATGCGTCTGTAATCCTGGATTCATGGGCAATCCTCCGAACTGCACCATCAATTATTGTGCCAGTAATCCATGTAGTAATGGCGGAGCATGCTCAAGTAACAAAGACGGATTCAACTGTACTTGTCCGCCGGAATGGAAAGGTGAGTAATAGATTAAATTCCTATTAGTGAAAGCGTAAGACACAGCTTGAAATTGTAAATATAACGAATGTGTTGAAATCTCAATGTATAAAGGAATTCGTTCGTTTTTTTTTTTTTTTTTTTTTTACAACGAATTTAAACCAGACTACCGATGTTTATGCAAATTCATATTTTCCAATTAGATAAACAGATTCTACGCGAGAAATTTGTTTATCGTTTACCAAATATCATAACGAGTACGCAAAGTTTGACTATTTTATAGATTCTTTGCATAATCGAGTTGCACGTAAATGCACAAACATCCGCGGTCTGTTAATCGCTATCACCATTTACGTCATCGTTACGCTCACCGTGTGCGTCTGTTACGTCTGTTTTATCCAGAATAAAATCTATTTTAACCGAAAGTGGAAAATTACGTAAAATTGTTGTTGTCGAGAATACGTTTGTATCGTGATTAACGTCTCTCTAGATCATCGTCTCCTTTACTTCACTAATCCTTTTTCGTATTTCTTTGTTAAATGTTTCGTATTGTCTTTGCGTAACGCGTGGACCATTAGGAACGACATGTCTATCACCCGCCTCTGATTGGTGTTCCGCTTGCTACAACGGAGGCAGTTGCCTCGAGACGCGTTTTGGTGTTATGTGTCAGTGCCCAAGATTTTGGACAGGACCTCAATGCAAGGATCCGATCACTTGTCGCGATCTACCTTGCAAACAAGCTTCCGCTTGTCACGATTATGTGAGTCAGACATTTGCAAATCGCTTTGCATGCACACCCAGCCGATTAATCAACCGCGTCCCGTCGAATATATCTCTATGTGGCCTCTTGCTTTGTTTGTTACGTCTCGCTTCGAACAGCCCGGCGGTTATTATTGCACCTGCGAGCCAGG